TGCAGGAGGGAGTGGGTGTGGCAGGCACAGAATTTTCCTTCCTCCTCATGACATCTACTTCTGCTGAGGGATAATGGGGAGCAAGGCTCCTTAGGACCCTCCAAGTCTTACTCAGGTGCCTGGGCTTGTATATTCCAATTTTCCCATGCTATCGTACTAGGTGGAATAGTTCACTATGTGAATGTACTATAATTTATATGACAGGTGTTCAAAGGACCTCTGGGCTAGTTGGTTTGGGGTACATGGGGCTGTGAGGAAAGGAAGGGATGAGCATCAGTGGTTGGAAGGAGGCAGCGGCAACTGCAGAGGCAGATGGAGTTGGGGGGAGCAGAGGCCAAGAGCCACTGGTTCCTCAACACCATTTCTGGTTCTGACCCCCATGCTTCCCTGAGGCCCTGCCCGGGGCTTTGCCAGCAGCCGCAGTCACTGCTTCTCATTTCAACTCAGCCTCAAGTCACTGACTTTTCCAACTTGACTCTTCTCGGCTGCTCCTTTGTGTGGAGCCGCTGGCTCCTGGGGCTTGGCTGCATTTGGGAAGGCCCTGGGATGCGACCTTCAGCCCTGCTTGACCCTGAGGGCTTGGGCTGCTCTCCATAGAGGAGGGGGTGGGGGTAGCCAGGCCTGAGTGGGCTCTGCTCAGCCCTGGAAAGGGAGCTTTTGGAAGAAGGATGATTGGGAGGAAGGGGAAGAAGGAAGGAGAGAAAAACAGGGAAGGGTATTATTGAGGCTAGAGAGGCATTACAACACGAGGCTTACGTCAAACTCACTATCAGTTCGGAAACCTGACAATGTCACAAAGAATACATTTCCCTGCTGCTAATTAGCAACATGGCCCAGGCCCATGGGCTGCTTCAGAGGGTGGAAGTTTGGGGGCAGGAGAGGAATTTAGTAAACTGTCAGCTCTGCCACGGAGTTAGAGAAACAGGTGCTCTGCTGAACTGACCTGTCAAGGTGACTAAAAGTTATCATACATTCCCTACAAAGACGATAAAATTTTAACAAATGTGAATATAATAAGTAATTAAATACCACACTGAACCCAATTTTAAAGATATATCTATCAAGCCATTATATAATGGATAAGATATACTGTGTACTGTTCTAACACTCACAAGTACTAACTAATTCAATCTCCACAACTACCCTAGGAGTTGGGTGCTAATACTGGACTCACTCCACAGACAGGTAAACTAAGGCACAGAGAGGTTAAGCGACTTATCCAAAGACACACAGCTAGTAAATGGCAAGAACAGGATTTAGACCCTGGCAGCTTGACATTAGGGTCAATGCCCTTCTCCACGATGCTAGGTCTCAGGACACTAAGGCTCAGAGAGAAGTGACTTCCACTGGCTCATCCCCACCTCACTCTGAAAACCCAAGCTCTTACTGTACCTTAGAGACTAGCAACACAGCTGGGAACACTGAGGATCACAGTGCAGTTCATCCTTCCTTTCAACAAATTCTTACCAAGCACCTGCCATGTGCAAGACACTGTTCTAAGCTCTGTTTCAACCAAAGAAACTATAGGAGACTGAACAAATCTGGATCAATTCTTCGATACCTCCCAGAAGTTATTTAAAAGTCAAATCTATCATAATCTCTGTGTCTGAAATACATTACAGGAGGGTGGAAAACCAACTAAGCAACTCCGATTAGTTGTTTTCTAGCTCCTTGGATTCTATATAACCGAGTGTTTTCTGCTATTGGGGGCAACTTACAGAAGCATCAAGTACAGACAGATCAACACGGAAAGCAGAAGACAGGGTAAAGATGAAAATACGTGAGTCCAACTGAGCTCGGAACTTGAGTTTAATTGAGATTCCAACGGCCACTCTGTCCTGCATTCCTTTGTCCCTGGCTATGACCAAGTTCAAGGCTACGTCACCCCCAGTAATCCCTGTAATGGGTTGCAATCCTGGGGGAGCTGTTTCTGTTTATTAATGGCCAACCTCTGAGTCACATGGAGTGCAGCCAGTGGTGGCTGCTTGCCCTGGCAGCTGAGGAGCCCTCTTCAGTTTTACAAAGTACAAATCGTCCAGGAGAGTATGGGGACAGCAGGCAAGGGCTGTGGAAGAGGCAGAGACATAGAGGTGACAGTGCTGGAAGCAAGGGCCCCTTCCAGGTCATGAGCTCTGAGAGTAGTATCCATATGTTCTCCTTGTGATCACAACTAGTTTACAGGGCTTCACTGTAGTTCCAGATGGTTGCCATGGAACTTGGCATGCTGGTTCCATGCTGTCCAGGATGCCACCATTGGGAGAAGGGATGAGGAGACCAATAGTGGGCAATAGGCAGAAGGTGGTGAATAAGCAGGAAGAGGCAAGTAGCAGAGAGTTGGCTTCCCCGAGCGCCAGGCATTCTCAGGGCTTCGGACAGCGGCTGAGTGACGGAATTAGGCTGTGCCTGGAGCCGTTCTCTCAAGCCCGCGGCCCCCAGCCCACAGCCCCAGTGTCTGCTTCTTGGAGTTGGGGAAACATGGCAGCAGCTGTCCAGAGACTCTGAACCCTCACTCCCCGCCGTCCTTCCTGCATCTGCCCTCTGGTTAGTTGTGTGAAGCGGAAGACAATTTGGGGCTTATTAGTGTCCCAGGGAGACATGTAACTTGTGCTGCTGGGTCCCGAACAGCAAGAGTCTTAGCGGCAAACTCCAGCCGAGAAAGACTGAAGAACTGTCTCACTAATTACGGGTACCGGCCTCTTTGTGTTTGTGATTCGGTACGGTTGTCCGATCGCTTCTGATCGCTTCTCTCCATTTGCTGGCTCAGGCCACGCTGGAATTGTGCTAATTAGAAACGAAGTGGACAGAGTGATCCTGTCAGCCCTGGTTACTGGTGGGGACAAAGCAGAATATTATTCTGGGGCACTGTTTTGTGAGGGCCCTTCATCAGCTCTCATTAGGAGGAAGGGGCCCCCGGGAGGGGAAGGTTCCGAGGGCCTGGCCTGGCTAATGGAGCTCTGGGGTGTCCATGTGCTAATTAACAGGCTCCGCCAGCACTGGACAACCAGGAGCCTTACAGCCGCACCTGGTGCCACCCAATGCCCCTAAACCCCCTGCTCATGAGGAAAAAGTGCTGGGCAAAGGGCGGGAAGGCCAGTGGCCCCTTTGGGCACAGGCAGGGACACACCCCCAAATGCCCCAAAGCCTAAGCAGACAGGAAAAGTCAGCTGCAGGACAGTGGGAGCTTACAAACTCAGAGAGCCCAGTGTGCCTACTCCCTGAAGGCACAGCTTCCTCTGGGGAAATGAAGCCCCTGCTGGCGTCAGGCAGTCCTGCAGCTCTCAAAGGATGAACAAAATGGAAACTGGAGAAGACGACCAAGTGCTGGGACATGGAGCTGGTGCAGAAGTTGAGAGCTTCTAAGAAACCATCTTATCTGTCCCCTGGGACCATCTACCTTGAACCGTCTGCCAATTTCCCCGCTTCCTGCTCTGCTGGTTGACTTGCTTCTAATGCTTCGATCCTGGAGGAAACAAAAGGGACCAAAGCGTCCCATCGGAAAGGATCCTGCCTTTATTACAAAGTCCCATGGAAGTCCAAACACCCTTTGGAAGCCACAGGGGCAATGGAGGAGCCATTGGAGCCAGAAGCTAGCTCCTGGGAGACAGGAGTTACAATAAACTGCAACTAGAGACCCAAGCAAGGAGCAGTTAGAAAGTGTCCATTTTAAAAACACGATAAATGGTAACAAAAGGTAAAGAAGATTTAATGATGGCATTGTGGTACCAATGCAGTTGATAGCCTGGGAGTTTTAGTGTTCAAACATTGGAAGGAGAGCCGGCAAATCAGCAGAGGCCTCAAACTGAGAGGCTGAAGTGAGCAAGAAGCAACGAGACTGTGGGGAAAGACTGAAGAATCTAACATGTGCCTCCAGGAACGAGCGCTCTGCGTCTCGGGACAGGGTGTCACGGCCGACAGGGCACTGCAAGGGTGTACTGGGGAGGGCCCCGGGGAGGGGAACCAAGCCCGTGGGCAAATGGTTAGTTATTGGAAAAATAACCTCTAAAGATTTAGAATAGAATATTCACACACTAGCCCTTTTTGGTAAGTCAGCTGCAGGCCATGCTTGCCCAGATCCCAGAAACCTATGGCCCATCCAGATGTTTTCTTGAAAATCAGGGATGAGCCAGTGATGCTTAGCAGTTTGTTTCCTTAAAGTGAAATATTTTCTCTAAAGGGGCATTGATAGTTTTATCAAGGGGTGAAAACAGTAGTACCGATTAATATTCTTCTCTAGTTTCTTAAACAGAGTGGAGAAGGACCTCATACTGAGAATTTTAATAGGTGGCAGAGAAATATTTGTTTTCAATCCATCATATTTAACTGGCAGTCTGCAAATAGGTTTGAATGCTCAGTTCAAAGAAGACACCGAAGCACTAGATGTGGAGGAGACAGCTGAGACCTCGAGAGCTTATACTTCACTTAGCAGGGCAATGGGCACGGACCTGGATCCCTTCAACACAAGGCGCGGTGGTAAGTCACGAGGCCGGTGTGCACAAAGGCTGCAGGAACGCAGGGGGCAGGATCCTTTCCAGCTGGCTCATCAGGGGTTCACAGGATGCGCAGGTTCAACATGTGCAAAGGGATGTGAGACTTTCTAGGAACTCAACGGCTTAGGCTAAGGCATTTGAGTGAGGAACTGGGGACTGTTCACAGATGAACTGGAACAGAGACTTACGTGTTGGCGAGGAAGGAAACCGAAATGGACGGTTAATTAGGATGACGTGCAGAGTTTTAGAGGGCAGGAGAAGAGGTCCAGACTTTACCAGGAGACAGGGGAGGTGTTAAAGGCTTCTCAATACTGCTTTGGGGACTAATGAGCTAGATGGCAGGTAGGACAGACTGGCAGCTGGGAGACCACGTAGTGGATGACCACACAACCCACCACCCACTGTCGCATGAAGGGGAGACAGTGGAATATCTGTCATTAGAGTTGCACTTTCTGATGAAGTCTATGCTTTAAGTATGCAACTTGGCCCTTTGAAGAAAAACTCACTCTCCTATAAAAGCGACATATTTATTATGACGACAAAAAAACCATCATATACCACGTACAATCTCCTAACACCCTGAAATACACACATGCGCACACTGTACATAAATTTATATTATCAATATAAAAACACATTATTAGCCTTTCGGAGGACAACAAATATAAAACCAATAAATACCGCAATGCTAAAACATCTACTTACATTAAGTGCTGGTGAGTAAGATGACAGTCAAAGAAAGAGGCCACAGCGGACCAAAAACCAACTGCGGAGCTTCGGGTTACAGATGAGTTGGTTTCGGGGAGACATCCCAATACACTCCATGGTTTTCTCAATTCCCCTTTTGATGTCATCGACTCTTAGAGCAAAGGAAGAATGTCACATTCGGGCACTATTTTTTGTGCACACACACTCTCTCCAACCATGTTTAAGATACAGGAATGTCAATATAAGCTTAACTTAAAATCAAAGCCCCTACGGCCCGCCACTCTGTTGTACACCGCACCCAAGCAGAATGTGTTTCCTCTCATACTCATCCTCTGTGTCTTGTGCTCAATTTTCTCCTTCTTGTCCGTAAGTAAAATCGCATGGATGGTCAAATGGCACAAAAAAGAGAAAAATCCAATGCGAATTCCAGCACACGCCAGAGAACGGTCAATGGGCCAGCTATTAAACTGAATAGTGCTGTGCCCTCCCACAGACGCCCGGGGCCGAACCCCTGACCACAATTCTCCTCGCCTCCAAGCGCTGCCCAACTGCTGCCACACAGACGCTCTTTTCACAGTCTGGGAAACCCCGGGTATTTCTCAACACATCGGAGGCTGGGGCCACCTTGTGAGATGAAATGAGGAGAAGGTGTGTCATCAGCGTTACCCACAGGCTGGATTTTTGGGTTTTAACACAGAGAGGTAACTGGCGAAGGGTTCCGTGAGGATTACATATTGAGGTCAGGAAATTCTTTTTCTTTCATGTGTGTGTTTCTGTCCTATGGGGGAAACATCTGATATGCGCTGAGAGAGAAAGGGGACAAGGGGGCAAAACCATCACTGCCGTTCCGCAGCACACACGTTCCCTTAGGGTCAATCAGAGCTTCCAGTTTCTCATCAAATGAAACTCCTGCAACCAATCCCCTTCCTGTCTTCAGGCCACACTGTCTCACCTGAATCTGTGACACGTTCACCAGAACTCAAAAGTCCTTTCTGTCACCTTTAAATTAGTCTTGAGGTCTAGGAGTCGATGCAACCTTGCATGGGCCTTTCACTGTATGAGCTAATCCCAAGAGGGACTTGCTGCACAGGGATCCCCTTCCCGGGAGTCAGAATGGATGGTGGGGGCTTGGAGCGGGGCGTGGAAGGCATCGGGGTATGGGACTGTCATGAGAGGTGTGGAATTTTAAAAGCAGGCATACATGTTGAGGAGATTCTGGTTTCTCCAGCAGGGGATTCCTGGAATCTAGCATACACTGGAGAGTTCCCAGGTCAAGCTACATGGTCTGGTCCAGAATCTCATGGGTCTCCGGGCTCCTCGCATCATAAATACTTCTTAGAGATTAAGAACAACTCACAAAAACCCATCCAATCACTGCCACCATGGACTCTGCCATCACAGAACCGAATCAACTGTAGGGTCCCAGGGCTCCTGATCACCTCCGGACACGAGGCAGCAGGACTTTGACCCTTAAGAACGGCATGCCCTCTGCTGTCACCAGCATCACCAGCATCTGAGGAGCAGGTGGTCGAGGTCTGGAAGCTGACCGAGTAACTGCACGGATCCCTGGGCAGAAGAGATTCTTCTCCAGCTGCCGAGCATCCTCAGCGGCGCGGAGTACCAGGAGCAGGAGAGAGGGTCAGTCCTGGAGGCACGCCCTCCAGCCTCTCCCGGGAAGCGGTGAGGTGGGCATCGCCAGAGCTGCGCTGGGAGGGGAGCGTGGTTCCAGCCCCCAGGAGGACGTGTCCACAAACTGCTGCTACTTCTTGGGTTTCTCTAGAATGTTGAGGAATTTCCCCCGTGTCATCTCTCTGGCTGAAATCACAAAGCATATGAAAGACCAATGAAGACCTAAAATCTGAAAACAGGATTATAGGAAAACTTAGTTTAAAAGTGCAGGGTGATTGCACTGTATGCAGGGGACCATAACAGATTCAATCACCACAAACCTCCAAAAGAGAAGGGAAAACAAACTACTACTGACTACTAAGACTGCAACAAACTACTACTGACTACTAAGACTGCACGAAGTCGGTCCGAAGTTGGCAATTGCTATAAAGCACAGGCCAGCTGGGTAGACTTGATCAGCTACCCTTAAAAAAAGTCACCAGGGAATTACCCTCAAACCTCTCTCTCAAGAATGTAACTTAACACTCTCGTTCACTATCTCAGGGGGTTTGTTCTTGGAAGCTACAATCCAACCAAGATTACAGTCTTCTCTGGGCTGTTGGTCTTTGGACATTTACGATCTCAAACCAAAGTTAGCAATCATTTACCCTGCCCTCAGTGGCAGCCTCTGGATACTGTAATATACCAGGGTTTATGTTCCCTCGGTGCAGCTCATCTGTGGATGGAGTAATAAAGTAGGGTTTATAGAGCTTTGGTCTTCTCTCTCTTGGCATTGTCAGTCCTTAGATATTTAATACAGCCAGGCAAGGTTTACGCATCTTTCTTTGACTTTCTGCACTATCAATCTCTGAATGCTGTAGTTACAGGAGGGTTTATGCAGCTACTTTCCTGCATATGAGGCTCCAAAATGAAAGTATACAAGGGTCCCTCCAGAAGCCCCTGTTTTAGCTCTGGCAAGCAAATCCTCAAACATTGTATGTAACCTAAACCCCTCTTCATCCCCATCGCCACAAGCCCATCTTTTTAGACCTCTTAAATGGATTTAACAGTGCAGGAAAGTTCCCAATGGCTTGCCCTGGAGGCCAGAAGTCTGGAAGTAGGTAGTGGACACACAGCAGGCTGTGGCCCGTGGTCTCCCAAGAACATCTCCATCTTGGCCAAAGAAGTGAGGTGGCCAGGGAGGCTCCTGCAGGGCCGAGGACCTTTGCTCTGGCCTCCTTGCTGCCTTTCCCAAGTCCAGAGCAAGTGGTGCAGATGAATGGGCTCCCATGCCCCCCAGCCACCACCTACATTTAACAGTTCTTGGTTAATTTGTACAACGGAGAAGTAAAACAATTCCAACTCTGTAACTACAGGAAGGCTTTGGGTCTCAGCAGTCTATACACACTCCCCATCCTTCACAAGTTCCTGAGCTCCAACAAAGAGAACGGGAATCCCGTGAACTAGGAATAAAAAGTCTCAGTGCTGGGTCTCGCCTCATGTGCCCACAACCCCACCCTGTCTCAAATCACACCGACCATCCCTTCCTTGGTGGATTTATACCAAACCCTATACATACAAAGTTCCTATCAGATTTGCAATTACTTGTGTATATACTTGTTTTCCTCGCTGAAGTGTAAAAACCGAGGGCAGACACTGTTTTTATTATTGTCATTATTATATTTTAATCCTTACTTGAGGATTTGTTTATTGATCTTAGAGAGAGAGGGAGTGGGGGAGACAGAGAGAGAAGATCCATGTGAGAGGGAAACACCCCCTGGTTGCCCCCCGCACATGCCCCGACTGGGGATCGAGGCCACAACCCAGGTATGTGCTCTGACCAGGAATCGAACACACAACCTTCTGGTGTACGGGATGACACTCCAATCAAATCTGCCGCCTGGCTGTTTTATTATTCTTTGTGTCACCAGCACCTAGCATAGTGCCAGACCTAGCATCTGCTGAATAAATACTGGCTGGATGAATGATACAGAGAAGAACCACAAGTACACAGGTTCACAACACAGTTTCTCTCCTTCCACTGACAAACAACAGGGCTCGCTAGTGGCCCTCGGTGCTCCATTCTCTGTATGTGTGTTCTTTCTAAGTCTACCTTGCTTGTCTAGGAAGGAAAATAATTTCCCTCTGTGGAAACAATGCCGGATTCATGGAGACTGGGGCGGACAGGGTGGTGGAGGGGAACAAGAACCATCCGGAAGGAAACCCAAACAATAGGCATGGGGCCGGGGGACACTCGAAGTAGTAGGGGACCGCTCTGTGAAGGACGTGACTTTCTAACCACTTCGCTGTGCACCTGAAACTAAGACAGAACAACACTGAAAGTAAATTATAATCGGAAAATAAATTTAAAAAGGTAATTTTCTTGCTCATGGGAGTCACATGACTTCTTCCAGAGAACACAGGACTTGAACTCAGTTTAAGTTCCAGCTCGAGCATTCAGCAGCTGGGCGACACCAAGGGCAGTTAGAGCCTCGGCTCTTCATCGGTGCAGTAAGTAGCATGTTCATGTCTCCTGCCTGCCCTTCTGGATACTGAGCGGTGAACACGCTGGGTATAGCGGTTTCATTAACTACACCTTTCAGAGGAAGGTAAGCAGCCTGCTGCTTCTCTCGCACTCAGTAGTTCCTGAACGAATAAATGAACTAACTGTGGTAAGGGAGGCTAAGACTCTCAAAAATCCATTCCTTGGAATCTTTCCCCTCAGCCTGATCCTACAGAGACTGACTTAGACTTCTGGCCTGAGTGGGACTCATCACTTATTTCTGCTGGGTGGGTTTTCTGCCTACTCTCCAGTTCTCATTAAGGGCCTCGGGACGGCACCAACTGACCCTGCAACCTGGCTAGAAGCAGCCGCTCTGGAGACCAGACATGGGTAACACAAAACTGCTGGGGAAAACAGAGCCGTGTTCCAAAAATCCTGGGCCAGGAACATTCTACTGGCCTTACTAATTATTTCTGCCTGCTGTTCTTCAGATTCCTGATTCTTTATTATTTTTTCCCCAAATTGGAGAATGACCCAGATTTTAAGACTTAAAATTTTAAAAGACTCAATATAATCAAATCAAGTGATCAAAAGGATTTAGCAGGAAAAATAATGGGTATTCCAAAGTCTCTCAGTGGCAAGCTCTCCTTGAATTTAACCAATCCTGTTTAACAACCCCTTTTCCACTCAATCATTCCTCCCCCTCTGACCTAATCTAAGTACACAGAGCTGCAGGAAGCCACTGTAAAAGTACAAGTAATTCAAAAGACATCATCTTCTGCATGGGAGGGGAGAAAGTTTCCCGACTCGCCAGTCCTATATAGGAGATATACGAATCTGTGACACAGCGGCTCCCTAAAAGAGGGCTGTGCCCTATAAATCACACCCTAAGCACCAACCCCTTTTTGTGCACAGAGAAATTGCAGTGGGTCAGGGGCTGCTCCAGTGCACGTGCCCTCCTGTTCACTTGTCATCAGTGATGTTAACATCTCTGATTAATTCACATACCCCTTATTTTATTCCTCATTTCCTTCTCCTTGCTCTCCTGCAGTGCGAAGATTCTTACCGACCTGATACAGCAATCACTGCCTGCTAACCGCACGCCGCCTACACCTAGTGAAATTGTTTAGTGATGCCAACCGCGCTTTTAATTTGCAAGACATCAGACACAGAGGTAATTTATACCAACATCTGTTCATTTTTGACTTCTGAAACAAACTCGCACATGCTGCTACAAAATCCCATTAGGTGTAGGCAGACCGCCTTCTGCTACTATTCTGTACTCTTCCACACACACCCCTACCCTCCAGTGGGGTTTTATATGGAAATGCATTTTACTAACAAATGTTCACCAAGGATTTCAAATCCCTTTGGGGAAAACCTTAAGGGATGTCTACAGTTTGCTTACAGAGGAGAGGAGGGTGTTCCCACCCCCCTGACTACTTCCATCCCTTCTTTTCCAATAGTTACAGCTTGGTATATTCTCAAATTACTGGCCAGGGTAAGAGTACACACTCCTCAGTTTGGCACTTCTAGTTTCTCCCTTCTCTCCTGTTTCTTTTTGCCTACAACGTGCTAGAAGATAATCCTAGAGACAGGAAAATTGCTAGAGAGAGTTTTATCTAGAGTCAATACAATTTCTTAACTATTCTCTAATTCTGGAGTAATTCCCTAGGATTACAGGTTTAACGGGAAGGCAACCTGCTTCCACATTCTAATAACTATGCCAGGAGGGATCCACTGGTCATCAGCCACCAGCGTGTGTGCTGTGCAGGAGAGAAGCATGGCCTCCATGTGGCCGTGATTTACACGCCCTCGGATGCAGAGCAAGCCCGTGAACTGAGAGCCACAACAGAGACTGTCGCCCTGGGGGAACAGGGAATGGCTGCCGAGTGTGGGTGAGGGTGCCACTTGTACACATGTAAAAGCAGCAAAAGGATCAACCAGCACAATCAACTTCCAGGCCTGTGCTGTTTCCATCAGCCCTTCGTACTTTCCCTAGGACTGTCAGGCTCCAGGCAGCCGTAAATGCCTGGGGTGCCTACAGAGGTCAGGGCCACAGGGAGGACTGCCCCCTGCTTGCTGCTGAAGGTGTGCTGTGGTTTAATATAGCGTCCTCTTTGAACCCTCCAGCTCCTCCAGCCCACACTTAGCCTTGCCTCCTGCTCCCCTTCCACAACGAGTGTCCCCAAACTGCCTTCTCTGCAGTAAATCTCCCGGTGGCTGGTGGGAAAAGATTCAGTGATACAGATTTCCCACCAGTGAGGGGATGGGGGTTACCACAGAGGCACCCTGGTTAACGAGACTGGGTGCAGAACTCTCATGAGATTAGCCCTCTCTGCCAGGCCAGGGTGGGTTTCATTACAGAAAGATTTTCCAGAGTATAACTTCCAGGCAACTGCCTGATAAAATTGTTTGAGTTTAGTGAAGGGAATGATGTAAAGATTAAGTAACTTTAGAAAATATATTTTATTTATTTTTAGAGAGAGGGAACAGGAAGGAGAAAGAGTGGGAGAGAAACATCAATGTGTGGTTGCCTCTCATGCATCCCCCACCAGGGACCTGGCCTGGAACCCAGTCATGTGCCCTGACTGGGAATCGAACTGGTGACCCTTTGCTTTACAGGCCCGAGCTCAATCCACTGAGCTACACCAGCCAGGGAAAGATTAAATAACTTTTAATGAAATGGAAGAAACTCGTAATG